GCTAGCCCGCTCCCTTTCGGGACTCGGATCAAAAGAGAAAAGGAGAGAAATGGACGCAACGGAGAAAAAGAAGGTTGCCAAATTCCACTCATCAGGTGGTTACAGCACGAGCGTGGACACCGGGCCACAAATCCCTGTGCGAGAGATCGCTCACAGTGTGCAGGGCGCCGGGCTAAACTACGTGAGCTCTTATTTTTTTCCCCAAGTGGCAGGAACTGTAATCATCCGTGTGCTCTGGACCGGGGAATGCCCTCAGAGAACTCGGAGTTTTGCAGCTAGGGGTAGAATCAGGTCTCGGGACAGGGTTTATGTGATCACGAGGCGCCCTCAGCTCCGCCGGTCTATTGTTCAGTCACGCGGTTTGCACCTGTTGCGGCCCTCGCTGAGGGAGAAGAAGATAAGGATCGAGACGAGCAGGTGACTCTGCTCCACCGGGACCCTAGGTCCGGGGCACGGAGGGACAATTTCAGGCGCGGGGATAGCGTTGCACCTTGGAGAAGATGCACGCCCATTCTCCAGGGATCGCTTTCCCAGAGGGCGTATGGTCTTCAGAACTGTCTTCCTTGGAGCGGAAGGGGAGAGAGGAGGATTTTGCGGTCTGTGGGAGAACTCTAGAGGGAAGTGGGGAGCTGGAGCCGCAGCTGACTGCAAAGCGGCCCGCGAAGGAGCATCCAGTCCGCGCGTTCTGCGTCCATGCGGTGGATGTACGGCGCTCTCATTCAAACTTTGGGGTAGACTCGATTGCGGCGTCAACGAAGGTGTGACCAATCAGCGATCAGAAGTGGGAATAAATTATGCAAATAACCATCTGGCGATGGGTCAGATGACTGTGATACTTTTAAGAACTACCTCGCCAGGAGCTCGCCTTGGGACAGCGAGGAGCCCAGGCTTCCCGGAGGCCCAGGGCGAGGGTGGCTCTGGCTCTGCTGCAAGCCCTTCCTCAATCTCCCTTCCCTCAGCTCGCAGTCAGAGCAGCCAAGGTTTCCACGCTCTCCTCCAGCTGTCCAGACCACCACCTGGCTGTGCAACTGCTCACCTGTGAGGTGTACCGGCTTGGAACGTGGTAGTGGCTTTTTTGAAAATCCCTGATTCAGAGGAGGGGGCGTGGCGGGGAAGGGGAGAAGGATGAGAAACTCCGTTCTTCTGCTCTGCTTCTGGAGCATCTATTGTTGCTTTGCGGCGGGAAACTCCACACCCTTTGGTCCCCAGGGACAGCTGGAAGGTAATGTGCATTTATTTTTATTTACCCACCCCAACTTTTCTGTGCTAGGGCCCCTCTGTCTTGCCGATTCCGTTCCTGCGAAATCCTCTTCCTTTGCCATTGTGCAATCTGTTCTCTCAGTCTCAGCCTTGGAAGCCACTTGTTCCTCAGCGCTTCTGATAAAGGCATCCCCAAGCAAGTCATCCGAGAGGCCACAGGTGGGCAGGGTGCACTGCCTCGCACCTTGACTGTCGCCCTCTGCCCCTTCCATCATATGGCTACTCTATTCCTTGCTGTCCAGCCAGCGGGCTTGCCTGCCAGCACCTCTTTTTGAAGGTGGGGGCAAGAAGTTTGTTAGAAAGAGCTCTGCCTTCTCCCTGGCATGCCTTATTTTAACTAGGGGTGTGTGTTTTGAAAGTTCAAGGGGAGCAGGAGAGCTGGCTTTGGTTTGATTAGTGCTTAAAGTAGCCTTCTGGTGGGTAACTTGGGTTGGGAAACTGCTAGTGAGGTCCCTGCTGTCGGGCTGCTGTCAGCCTCTTTTCTCTCCAGCACTCTTCCTCCCTTACTCTTTTCCTTCCTCCTTCTGCCTGATAGCTTTTTCTTCTCTTAGGTCCTGTGTGGAATTTCCACCCACTAGAGGCTACCTGCCTGGTGGAGTGAGGGCAGGGTCATCTAGAGCCAGCTGTTAAGCAGTAAAAGAGCAGGGAGGGGACCCTTAAACCCAGTCCCAACTCTTAAGCCCTGTTTGCAGATGATGAGCGAAATGTCAGCCTAAGTTCTTGTGGAAGAAGTCATTTGAATGAATGAGAAAGCCTTGCTTTACTAAATGTGTTTCCAACTCTAGAGCTGACTAGAGGCATGGCCTCTGCAAAATGCCCCAGTTCCTTCCAACTTCTGTGTTCTATACTTCTGCACTTTTGTGGGCCATGCCATTCATTCAAAAAATATTCATTGTATTTCTGCTTCATGGCAGGCACTCTTCCAGGAGTGAAGGAGAAAGCAGGGATCAGAATGGATGACATTCGCTGCCTTTATGGCACAATGATGGCAGTGAGTTAGTGAAAGTACAAAAGTGGTGCTTAGGCTCATGGAGGAAGAGACGAGAGGAGGAAAGTGTGGAGTCCTGGGGTCGGGGGAGTGGTACGGTTTGGTTATGTGGTCAGGAAGGTCTTCCTGTCAACTTGTTCCTTGAACATGGGGCACAAGGACATGAGAGAGGAACCACAAGGACATCTGGGTGAAGAATAGTCATGAAGCCCTGAGGTTAAGTGACCCAGTCCCAGACTAGCAGGAATAAAGTTAGACACCTGTGAGGTCAAAGCGAGCCTGATGCCAAGGTAGAATTTGTTTGTCCACGTGTGGCTTTGTTCACATGTCTTTCTCAGGAGGCCAGCAGACCTCTTTTGCCCTAGGTTTTTCTCTCTGCTCCCAGGCAGAATTGGGAAGCTGTCACAATACTTGTTGCCATGGTTCAAATTTCTACCACTGGGACTTTTGTACAGTACTTTGAGGACAGTTAACCGAGTTTTGCTCATGTATATTTAGCAGCATTTTCTGGAATCTAATCCTTATTTCTATCTGGTCTGTTCCCTACCTGTCCTTTGTTCCTTCCATCTCTATTTATCTTCTCCACAACTATGATTGCTCTGGTTCCTTTTGCTTCTTTACTCTGGGATAACTTAAGTTCTTGCTGTGGTCCTTTGGTATCTCCCTTTCTGCTAGGTGATCAGACGGTTTGATGCTCTATCTATCTAGCCTGTTATCTAGTAATATTTACCAGGATGGCTAGGAACATGCTAGCAGGGGTCCATTAGTAACTATCTGAAATAGTGTGGTGATGACAGTGCCTACTTAGTGTCATACAATCATAGGGACCATCACTGGTCCTCCATAGCATTGTGTGTGAGCAGTGGAACTGGAAGGGGTGGACTTGCTTCTCTAAGGAGTTTATCACAGCTTCAATCATTCCTGTAACAAACTGGGTGAATGCCTGGTGCCTGTCACCACTGCAAAGGACCCTGAGGATGCATGAAATCCTTAAAGGAAGTGCTTGAAGCAAGATGGGAAAAATAGGGAATGTCCATTATATAGCGAATGGGTCAACAGCCTCTTATCTGCAGTTGCAAAATCCAGAATTTCTCAAAGTTGGAAAATTGGTTGGGAACTTGTTTGTCGGCAAGACATGGCCTTACCTCATCTGAACTCATTTGAGAGCAAAAATCTCACCTGAGGTAGCAGGAGTCTGTTGCTAATCTTTTTATTTTTTGCTCTTGAGTGTGAGTAATCCTGTATTCCTCTGCAGAAATATTAGTGTATTTGATTTGTGGGGAATATCCCAGATCCCATGGGGAGGGTTATATAATATACAGTATATGCTCTGTAATGCCTTTCTAAAATATGACAATTTCTGAATAAAGAGACTCAGCTGGTCCCAGGCTTTTTGCAAAAAAATTGAAGACCCATGCACTAAAATAGGAACCTGAGGGAAAGAAGTTTTGGTAGGGATGGATAGAGAAAAGTAACAGATGTGCCTATTTCAGAGTCACAATAATTAATACAAGTGATTAATTAATATTTATTGAGTATACACATAATGTCCCTTTTATAATATCTTGACAGTTTTCCCAGAGGGTGAAGAGGGAACATTCAGCAGGTGTTAAAACTGGAACCCAGATGTTTAAGTAATTTGCTCAAGACTGGACTAGAACTAGACCTCGTATTACCTGATCACCCACATTCTGTTCTTTCTCTCCAGATGAGCTTCACAAATCCAAGGAGGTGCAGACTACAGCCAAACCCTCTGTGCATTTTATCCTCCGAACCTCTAAGGATCCAGAGCATGAAGGATGCTACCTCTCCATTGGCCGCAATGAGCAATTAGAAGATTGTAGCTTCAACATGACAGCTAAAACCTTTTTTGTCATTCATGGATGGACGGTGAGCCCAGGGAGGGAGCTCTGTGGCTTTTGATTCCCTTTGTTTTGGTCAATTAAAAAGAATACTGGTGCTTCCAGATTCCAGAGCCTTTTCCCCCTTTCCTTGTGGGCTGGTTGTATTTCAGACAGCTGAGAAGGATGTAATGGGGGCTTCGCTGAGAGGGCAATCTGGACTCCAGCAGGGTGGTTATTTAGTTCTGGCATACAACAGGCTTTCAGAAAGTGGCTCTCCTGAGGGCAACAGCCTAGCTCCACTGGCTCTGAAGGGCTCTCTAATTATACTTAATTACATTGGTCAGTCACTGCCTGGAGGGGGCCATCCTGCCTTAAGAGCTGAGCTGCACTGAAGCGACTTGACTGGCTCTGAGAATCTGTGAGGGACCAGCTGGCCCTGCTGTCTGTCTGCTGTTGGCATGGTGCCCTTCTGTTTGCATAGAGATGGCCCCATTTAAAGGCAGTGGAGCTCTTTCTGTGCCCTAGCTGAGCAATTCCTATTGAAAGGCCTATGACAAACCTTAACAAAAAAGGGCTTTAGCACTCAGCTTCAGAAGTTCTTGGCCAGCAAGGGATTTATTCATTCATATAATGACAGTCTGTAGGAAAATGGCACTATTAAGTGAGCAGGTTTCTGCCTTGGCTAATTGGGTGGGACATTCTCCCTCTTGATGAGAAATTCATATCTGTTACATTCTTTCTGGGTCTTTAGGTCTATCACTAACGTTTTGGGTTGGGATCTGGTTTGGGGAAGGTAGGTGCTTACCTACTTAATGTGATGAAGGAATGATTAAGGGCCTGTCCTTAGTCCTCATCACACAACCTGGTATTGGAATGATGCATTTGAATCTTTTTAAGGCCCTTCTGTCAAAATGCAAATACAAACTGCCTGCAACTTACAAATAGGGTGCATTCCAGAAAGTCCCTTTGTAATGTGTTTGGAACATGGTACAGCAGTTTCCCATAGAAGGAAGATTGTAAATAGTGTTTGGGTTCCCAGCCAAAGCACAGAAAATCTATTTATTTGATAATGTACTTGGAGATAAGTTTGGTTTTAGTCACCATTTGTAACTTTGTTTCTATGGGAAAATGTGTCCTGAGTTCTGATTTGGGATTCCAGGAATGGATTTTCCTGACGCTGGGGTCAAAAGGGTTGGCAGAGATGGGTTGTGGGAAGGGGTCATTTGTTAACTCTGTATTTGCCTAGGAAACAGCATCTCCCTGCATCTCTAAGGGAGGAGCTGATTCTCCAGGGCAACCCTTCCCAGCTGCCTTTGAAGGATGAACCAAGCCACTTGCCTGATTGTGGCAGGGACTCAGCTAATGTCACGCCAGCATCACTACCAACACATATCTCATAGACAGCAGGGTAATAGCATAGGTCACCAGCTATGAAAATTTTGATGGCAAAAACAGGAGGTGTAAAGAGGAATGGAAGAAAACACTTGTGTAGCAATTCTGTCTCTGAGTGGCCCTGCTCATGTGCAAATGTTTGCTTCCTGATCTCCTGCTATGAAGATTTCAAAGTCAGATGGGATGAGGGTTATGAGATGAAATTCCAGAAAGTAAGCCCCAGACTTGTGGATATTTGAGTTGTGAAGTTTTACAAGCATACTGTATAAGACTTATCTGTATCTGACTGATGAACATTCTCCTGGGATGGAATTCATTCATAAATTGAGTACTTAGTGTATTCATTAGCATTTCAAGGTTCAGAAGAAGATTTTTTTTTGTTTCTTGTTTTCTTTGCAGACTGGTGGCATGTTTCATGACTGGCTGTACACACTTGTGTCGGCCCTGCAGACAAGAGAGAAAGATGCCAACGTAGTGGTGGTGGACTGGATACCCCTGGCTCACCAGCTGTACACAGATGCTGTGAATAACTCTAGGGTAGTGGGGCACAGTGTGGCAAAGATGCTTGACTGGCTGCAGGTAACTGGGAATGAAAGGGGGTGAACTCCTCTCAGAAGCAGGAAATTAAACTCCAATGTCCTTGGGAAATATAGGCCACATGTGTTATTGTGAACTTCCAAACTCTTGACAAAATCTTTAGAATTAACATTTTTTCTGAATTAAGTATTACTTGAAATATTTAAAATCTGGGACTTTTAGAGAACCTTTAAATAATTCATAGATCTCTGACTTTTTACTTTATTTGCTGTAAGAAAATTTGCCGTATGGCTAGTTACTTGGTGATCTTAGAAGCTGATGTTCTTAGGTTGACTGGGTGTCCAGGAGCCAGGACAGGCTTGCAATCTTCAATATCTTTTGAAGTTTTCTCTTGCCTCTGAACCATGTCTGTACATGGAAGGGTGGAAGGAGATTGAATCAAACATAGCAAGCCTGTTAACTTCTTTAAAATATTAAATGTGCAAAACAGGTCTTGAGATCTTGTATTTACTTTTTATAAGTTAATAATTTGCCTGAGACCAGCGGACTTCACTGGGGCAAGAGAGGCGGGGATATACTGGCACAGTGCCTCTAGAATCTGGGCAATTCTAGCTTGACTTCCTTTTGCCCATGGAATATGATGAGTTCTGGCAGAATTCTGGGCAGGGTTCTTGAGCAGGTCCTCTCCACTTTACCTGTTATATAGTAGAATTGGTTCTTGAGCCATGGGTTCAAGGCCCCACTTCTCATTTCCTACCAGATGAATTCTTTGGAAAGAGACTTTCTCCAACTCTGGGGTCCCAGATGGTCCCAGTTTATGGTAAGGAGGTCAGCAGATTCTGAGGCCAGGATGCAATGCAAGGCCTAAGAGAGCAGGAGAGGATTGAGGTGTTGTAGGCTATGGCTAGCACTTTGGTCTCCAGTAAGTAAGTGTCTTTGACTTCTACACTGCCCCTCTGCCCCCTAGATAACTGCCCAAAAGAATGGGAAACATGTAGATAAACATGTGAGAGAACGGTCAGGCATGCAGCCTGTAATCGCATCCTTCTCCCTGCCCTCTTGGCCTTTGCAGTGTCGCAAATCCTTTTGACCTCCCACCACTGGCTGAGAGCCATGCATCATGAGGGGCCAGCAATGTCCCAGGGAATCTGTGCCTGTGACTTCTCCTCAATTTGATGGATTTGTTAAACTATTGGTGGCTCTGGGGACTCAGGACCATGTAGTTCACCTCACATGCTTTGGTGACTTTCTACAGGAAAAGGATGGTTTTTCTCTAGAGAATGTTCACTTGATTGGCTACAGCCTTGGAGCACATGTAGCTGGGTATGCTGGCAACTTTGTGAAAGGAACAGTGGGCAGAATCACAGGTAAGCTCTGCTTTCACCACCATTTTACTCCCTCTGTCTCTCTCCAGTCTGCTTCCAGATGAGAAAGCTGGAGGGAGTCATAGATGGCTGTCTTTGCAAGGAAACTGGAAAACATCCAGAGCTTTCCAAATACTCTTTCTTGGTCGCAGAACCCTTTTTGAATTGCACTTGTACGGGATTTCAAAATATGAGCTAGATAGGTGGGGATATTCTGATTGAAGATGGGTGGGTAGATATAGGTTGTGTTAGCCTTGCCATTTGAGCCTTTGGATTCCTCAGAGGAGCCTCAAGGAACACCAGGGAGCAGTTTGTAAACCTCTGATCTAGTCCGTCATGTGAGAAAACATTCAGGGGTGAGGCAGCTTGTCCAGGTGAAAAAAAGCTAAAATCTATAAAGCAGAAGTTAGCCAGCCATTGTGGTACACCCCTATAATACCAGCACTGGGAGACTGAAGCAGGAAGATTACATTTCAGGGCCAGCCTAGACTACAAAATGATTTCAAAGCAAGCCTGAATGACATAGTGAGATGCTATCTCAAAAAAAAAAAAAAAAAAAGAAGCTAAAACAGAGCCCAGGCCTGTATGCTTCTGGGTGTTCAGATCTCTGCCCATGATATTCCAGGGACTTAAAGGAAAAGAATGAATGATGCCTCTAGTTTGAATTCTGCCTCTCTGTGATTTCTATTTCATTCACCAGTAGCTTCTTTTTAATGTTAAAATAGCATATTTGTTAATGATAGCTACCTATTTAGAATAAATGATTAAACTTTGTAATTAAAAAGATGTTTCTGATATTAGTACTGAGATGGTCATTAGAAAATTGAGTTTTCCATCTAGAAAACTGCATCAGGGCCAGGGATGTAGCTCAGTGGATCCATAGCCTGCCTCACAAGTGCAAGGTCCTGAGTTTGATCTCTGGTACCAAAAACAAAACAAAACAAAACAAACAAACAAACAAAAATCCCCCAAAATAAAAACAAAACTGCATCTCAGTGAACTTTTAATGTGAGATTCTGGATTCTGCATTTGGATTAAATCATTTAATGATCATGAAAAATACAAAAGATTTGCTTTTCCATTTTTGGGGCCCCTTTAGATACACAGAGCTTCCCCTACATGAAAATTAAAGGTAAATTTGTTGCCTAATCTTCTTTCTCCTTCCAGCATTCTTTTGTATGTATTCCTCTCCAGCTTCCCCTTACCTCCAAGATACTATGGATTGTGTCTTAGACTTTTCTGTTTCTATAACCATATTATGCAGACTGGGTAATTTATAAAGAACAGAGGTTTAGCTTCCTGCCAACTGGTGAGGGTTTTCTTGTTTTATAATAACATGGTGAAGGGCATTACATTGCAGCAGGAAACCTTAGGGGAATCCCAAACAAGGAACTCAAATATGGAGTTAGGAGCAAAAAGTGGCTTTAATAATGCTGGTGGCTCAACTAACGACTCATGACAGTCTCGAGAGTTCCAAAAAGAAGTTTGTTCTTTATATACCTCTTTTTACATCTAAGAGGCTTATTTTCATTGGAGTTTCCCTGGGAATATAGCAAGCACAATTTATAAAAAATAGAGCAGTGGGGTGGGGAGAGCAAAGAATTCTGGCAGGCCTTTCTGAGTCTATTATGCTCCTTTGGTGACAGATTACAGAAGTTGTCACAGTTACTCAGGTACATAGAACAAAGAGCGTAGTCAGTTAACCTATAGTTGCCTTATAACATAGTTAACTTGTAGTTACCCAATTCCATACAGAGGGATGGTTTCCTGTCTGTGGCCAGACAGAACAAGTGTGCTAGTGTGGTCACTTGCTTATAAAGGTTCTCATGCCCATGACATCATCTTATCCCAATGCTTCCCGAAGGCCCAACCTCCAAATACTGGTAATATATGAATTTGGGCATACGTTTCCAACACATGGGCTTCTGGAAGACATAGTCAAACCATAGCAGATGATCACCTGGGATGAAAGAGCTGATCAATGTCTTTCCCTACAGTGTTTTCATTTTAAAACAGAACTCAAGTAGAAAGGAATCTTAAGATAAAGAATAGTTTAGTAAAGGTAGAATTGCAGGCTTTGGCAACAAGCTTGTAAGGTAAGTTTTCAAAAAGTACATTTTGTTATGTAAGAGTACAAGATCCTAATGATGAATGCAACTATATTGTATGCTTAAAAAGTACGAATAAACTCAATAAGTTTTTTAAAAAACGGTACATTTTTGAAGATTTATTGTCCTTCCTCATTGCTGTCTTTGGGCTTAAATCTAATATGTAGGTGATCACACACAAGACTTATGCTTGCACATTTCTTTAGATCCAGTGATTCCATTCTGTACAGCTTGAGAGTGTTATTTGTAATTTTCAAGATGGTAGGTTGTGAGCTGTCCAAAGTGGGCTGTAATTGTATGACCACTCCTGACTGCTCATTAACTCACTGCTGGTACAGAGCAAGTTCTACCTGAGGCCACTCTGGGTTCTACCATGTGAGCACCTCTGTCCAGCCCTTGAAAGAGCCAGGCCAGATAGTTTCAAACTGTAGCATTCACAAGGCCCCAGCCAGAGTCAAGGCCCAGAGTGTCCTTGGCAACAGCAGATTTTGCCTTTCCCTGTTTCTAAGTCTGAGATGAGCAGGGACTGGTAAAGCAGTTTTTCACTTCTTCTCCCTGCTTGTTTAGGTGGCAGCTGCTGAGATGAGGACTTCTCACATGTGGCCAGCAAGGGAACCGGCAGAATGCTAATCATTGTTGCATGGAGCAGGCCTACATGTCCTGGACACAGCCATTCCCTCTGCCTCTTCTCCATGGGCAGGGTCTGCACCTCTGTTCAATTAGCCTGCAGCTCCTCTGAGGGTCTTTGGCTCCCCTGTTCCAAATGGCTATGCCTGTCTGATGGGGGAAACTGTCTTTCTTCCTCTTCTCTCAGTGGTAGATTTATTTTGGGCTTGTGAGCCAGGTGGTTCCAAACTGGTAAGAGCACAGAGACTGCAGCTCCCACGGGATGTTCAGGCTGGTGATGCCACTGTGCAGGCCTTCAAGGGCATACCTGAACCTCAATCTTGCTTGAGCCAGAGGGAGCTGGGGTTTTACCCTCTCTGTCTCCCAAGAGAAGTCTGAAATATATTGGGTAATTTCTAACTGAACATGCGCCTATTTATAAACAAATAAATAAGCAGATTAATTTATTTAGGAAATATGAATTAAGCATCTGCTCTGTCTAGGCTCTAGGCTAGTTGTTGTCTTATATCAAGTAGTTTCAGTATACTTACTGAAGTGGCAAGGTACTGTGTGCTGGCCTGAGCTGCATAGGAAACCTGCACCTTTTACAGGTGGGGAAAAAAGGCCCTAGGAATTAAATAACAGGCCCAATATCTTGCATCATATTAGTAGCAGATCTGGGATTCAAATCCAGGCTGTGAGAATCCAGAGTTGGCACCCAACCAGTAAACCATGCTTGCCTCTCTCTGGAGGTAGAGGTAAGATACCTGTAAAGATGTAGTGACCCCCTGAGGATCCCTCTGTGTGCACGCGTGCGTGCATGTGTGTGTGTGTGTGTGTGTGTGTGTGTGTGTGTGTGTGTGTGTTGTTACCTCTGCTGTTCAGAGAGCATGTGGAGCAGTCTGTGACTGAATGGAAAAAGTGGTTCTCAATCTCCCCTTTTTTTGGAAGATGTGAGTTGTTCCTTCCATTCCAAGTTTAAAAAGTAGACTGTGTTGCCCTGAGATGTGGGCCACAGCTGTGGATCAGGGACTGTCAGAGCAGGGAGGCCAGCTCAGTCTGGGTAGGCAAAGGCTCTGCCTGCCCCTCCGCTGGCCTATGAGGCCCTGTCAGCTGTCTGCATTCCACCAGTGCAGCTTGGTTTCCATAGCACTTCACGTTTGGTGGGGACCTTTGTTCATACTGAGCAAAGAGTCTCTCTCTTGTATTGGTTGCAAAGCCGAACGTTCCTTTATTTCCCCGCTCCAGTGCATATAGCAAGAGGCAGGGAGAGGTTGCTTGTGTCAGTACTGTGGTCCTTGCAGCCACTAAAATAGGTCATTGTGGGCTACTCTGGAAGGATATCGTTTTTGTGCTATCATTCTTTTGGGTCCTGGACTAAAGATGAGCCCCGAAGTAGTCTGGTCTCCTTTTTGCCTTGTTTCATATAAAATCATCTAAACCTCTTTGGGAAACTCCAGTTTCAGCTTTGACCAGTTCTCATGAGTAATGATGAAACAGTTCACTGTTTGCTTGAGACAGTAGCTCTGCTTTTCATTTATCCTAGGATTACCCTCTCAAACTTCACTGTGTGCTCCCTGGTTCTTTATGCTGGGTCTGTCTGGTGAGCAAAGTCTGCTACCTATCTCCTCTTTTCAGGACTTGCTCTTGGTTGCCTCTCCTCCAGCCATGGTGCTTTTAAGTGAGCTAAGGAATTTTACATGTGGAGCAAGGCAGTGCTTTTTCTGTCATGCATGCCTGTGTGTGGGGCACTGTCTTGTGCAATGGAGTTGCTCTGTGTCTCCTACTTGTTCCTACCAGAAGCTAATAGCTCTCTTCCTTACAATTGCGATAAACAAAAATGTCTCCAGTCATCACCAAATGGTCCCTGGAAGAAAAGGGCAAAATCACTATTAGTGGGAAAACCATTTTCTAGACTAAACAGAGTGCCTTTCCTCTGCCACACATCTCATTTAACTTTCTCCAGGGCCTGTCTGTGTCTCTATTTGGCAAAGAGCCTTCCTGGTTGGAACGAATGTATTTCTCATAAACACTTGGGCTTGGTAATAGTGCTGCTATGAGTGGACTTAATCTCTTAATATCTCATGTGAACAGTGTGAATTAAGGCATTCAGGTTCCATTTCGTAGAAGATACTAGGCCCAGGGAAGTTTTTAAATATCTGATCCACAGATCACCAACTTTTAAGATCACTTGAGGAATCAGTGTATATTTCTGAGTTCCAGGACAGATCTTCCCATTGGAATCTCTAGGAGGTCAGGGAGTTGGAAATCTCTGTTTTAGGTTTTACAGTTAAAAAAAATAGTTCTGCATTCATGTGGTTCCAGAACCAGAAGATGGGGTAAAGTCTCTCCTACTGTTGTAACTATCTACCCAGGTCCCTTCCCCACCAGCTCCCCACTGCATCTACATACAGATAACTGTTTGTTTGTACATTCTTCCAGAGTTCTTTTTATACTTTTTATTACTGTGTGTTTGCAATACATGATAGTCACTTTTGTTTAGGGCAATTGGTACATGTATATAGCATATCTTGGTCATTTTTGATTCCTTCCCCCTCTCTAGCCCTTCCTTTTCCTCCTATTCCCCTTCCTTATCTCCAAAATGTCTGACTTTTTATTACTATCTCTCCTTTATCTTACTTTTTATTTATATTTTATTATATATTAATACAAATATTTATTTATATTTGCATTATATTATAATACAAATGTTTATATTTATATTTGTTCATATTTGTATATATTGTATATTATATTGTACATATATATTAATTTATTTGCATTTTAGGTTTCTCATGTAAAAGAAATCATGTGACATTTAACTTGCTGCATCTGACTTATTTCACTTAATACTATGGTTCCTTTTTTCCATCCATTTCCTGCAGATTTTATTCTTCATGGATGAATAATATTCACACACATATATATGTGTGTGTGTGTGTGTGTGTGTGTATATATATATATATATATATATATATATATATATATATGCCACATTTTCTTCATCCATTTATCTGTCAGAATTCTTACAGCTATATGGTGGAATCCAAGTTTTTAACAATCTTTAAGGTACTATTTTCAAATATGAACACCAGTGCTGTTTGCCTCCTACTATAAAATTTTGGAGGCAAAATATTTTCTAATTGTGGCTAGAAAATAGAAGATTCTGGAGGTGTGGCATTTGGATTCTCACTGTATTAAGGGTAAAGGCCACCTTTCCATCCCTGGACATGGCTCATAACTAAAGGGGAAAATAAGTCCTGATATAAATAGCCCAGTTTGGGGAAATTGAGTTCTTATAGAAGGATGTAGGTGGCTTAGTTATGCTGTGAAAATTTTGCTGAAGTTAGAACTATGGATGGCTTCCAGTACAGATGACTAGTATGAATGGCTTAGGTTCAGGTACCTCAAGTTTTTTCTAGAACTGCTCCAGTTTTGATCACTTACGGCTCTTCAGAGCTGATGGCTGTGTGGATTTGTGGCTAGTTTACTGTGTTGGCTGAGCCTTCAAGGACGTATGGAGGCTTCTGAAGGAAGTAGAAGTTGTGCAACAGCAGTATTTAATCTCCATATTTGTGTTTTGGGTCAAGCATGTCTGAAAATAGGCTCCTTATTTTCTTCTAGCCTTTGGTGTCTAGACTCATGGTGCTAGTCTCAGAGGGCATCTTTACCCTGTAAGCTTGGGTTTGTTTGTAACTCAGGGCTCACTGACTTGGTGCACCTGACATAGTCCATCTTGGTCCCTCTTGCTGTAGGTTTGGATCCTGCTGGGCCCATGTTTGAAGGGGTGGACATCGACAAGAGGCTGTCCCCTGATGATGCAGACTTTGTGGACGTCCTGCACACCTATACACGGTCCTTTGGCTTGAGCATAGGGATTCAGATGCCTGTGGGCCACATCGACATCTACCCCAATGGTGGTGACTTCCAGCCAGGCTGCGAATTCAGTGACATCTTGGCATCGATTGCATATGGAAGTGAGTTCTTTATTTTCGGCTTTGTATTGGAATCAGTTATCTCATGTCCTTCTCAACCATCCAGAGCTGCTAGTGCTCTCAACACAATTCATTTCATCATTCTTACCCCCACCACAGTGGCCCCAACATTATGTGTAATGTTTTGCATCATCCCACACACCTGTAAACAGTCATCCATCTGCTCTCTTATGCTTCAAGTCCATAGTTGTGATTGGCTAATATCTTTTTGTGACATACATATTTGTTGAAAAAACAATCAAGTGATACAGAATTGTATAAAGCAAAAAGTAAAAAAATCTCCCTTCACACCCTTTCCTTCTTTTACTCTTTGGTGGCAGCCAGTATGAACACTTTTATATGTGTCCTTTCCAGTTTTTTTCTTTGTAAATTGATGTGTGTGTAATTATTTTTCTGCAAACCACATTGTTCTGCAACTTTCTTTTTTTTTGTTGTAATATATTATGGACATTCTTAATCATCAGAGTAGGTAGATTTACTAATTTTATTCTTTTTATAGCCTGTATAACATTCTGTAGCATGGATATAACCTTGTATTTTAAATATTGATAATATTTTAAAGGTATAAAACCAAGTTTTTTTGCTATTTACTTATAATTTATCTTCTGAATGTCTGAGCTTATTCTTAGCAGATATAGGCTAAAGTCTTTGCTTTTGAAACTGCTGTGTGGCCCAGTGACTGATCCCTTTGTGGTTTCTCCATTCTTTTATAGCTTTGGATGCAGGTAGCATTTCCCAAGTCTTGGCTCCAGCCAGCCAGCTCTCTCTTTCTTGATGCTCTGTCCTTTTGGATATCCCACTCTGCTATTTAGTATTAGGACTATTGCCCTCTCCCAGTGTGATTAGCATACAAGTAGCCAGCCAGGTGTGGTGATGCACACCTATAATTCCAGCCCTTGGGAAGCTCAAGCAAGTGAATCACCATGAGTTCAAGGCCAGTCTGGGCTACAGTGAGACCCTGTCTCCATAAATAAAATCAAAATAAAACTAAAATAAATACTAGTAGCCTTATAGAGCTTGAAATCCCATGCAAGGGCAGTTTACCTCTGCCCTGGTCTATTGGATGATGACATTTTATTTATTTATTTATTATTTACTTACTTTTCATTTTTTTGAGAAAGGGTAAAACTGAATTGAACTATGTAGTTCAGGCTAGCCTTGAACTCACAGTGTAGCCCAGACTGGCCTTGAACTCCTGGTGATCCTCTTGACTCAGCTTCTCTAGTGCTGGAATTACAGGTGTGTACCACCATACCCAGTTTATTTTTAAAATGTACTTTATTTTTATTTTTTATGTTTTGTTTTGTTTTTGATATGGCATTTTTAAGGCTGGTGGTACCCATGAGGAAAGGGTAGAGGTGGCTTTGACAAATTCTTCCTGAGTTTTCCAATATCTTCTTAAACTACTAGCTTTAGCCTCTGGTTGCAAAAAAATAATATACTATGGGCCAGAAAAATCCAAACTCTACCATACTGTATTATATCAGGTGCCTGTATGTCTTTGAACAAATTATCTTACCTCTATGGATCTTTGGGTCATAATATATAATTGAAGGGATTGGACTAGAATGGTACTGGTATTAAAGACTCAGATAATAAATACTGTAGTCTTTGTAGGTCACATAGGCCCTGTTTCAACAACTCTACTCTTGGTGTAACATGAAAGTGACCGCAGAGAATACATAAACCAATAAATGTGGTTATGTTCCAATAAAACCTTATTTACAAAAATAAGTATCCAGCCTACCAGCCAAATTTTGCTGAGCCGTGGACTAGATGTTGTCTAGTATTTGATGCATTTCCTTCATTTTATGATTTTACTTCTTTGAAAGGGCTTAGTGTTTCTTATTGCACAAAAGACCTGTATCACTTTATTTAGTTTGTATATGGAGCACCTTACACTTATTTCTGTGTATTAGTGCTATTTTCTCACCAAGAAAGTGAAGTTAGGTATTGGGGTGGTCTGAAATTTCATATCTTAATAGGGTCCTACTATACCATTAGACATTTATTAATAATTACACAAACAAAACACAGCCTTAATAAACATAGCTGTTGCTGACAAGGTGTATAGTAATTATTGATCAAATAGTGTAATCATCAAAAAGTGGCTCATCCTGCATGTCTGTCTCCTACTTCCCCAGCATTCCCAGAGGCATTAAAATGTGAGCATGAACGAGCTATAGACCTCTTTGTTGATTCCCTGGTGAATGAGGACAAGCCAAGCTTTGCCTTCCAGTGCACAGACTCCAAACGCTTCAAAAAGGGGATCTGTCTTAGCTGCAGGAAGAATCGTTGTAATAGCATTGGCTACAACACTAAGAAAAGAAGAAACAAGAGGAACACCAAGATGTACTTAAAAACCCGGGCAGGCATGCCTTTCAGAGGTAAACTTTAGGCTACAAAGTGGCCCTTAGTTTTCTCCTCCTACTTAATATGTTATGGTAGAACAGGGCATATCCTAGCCCACAAGCTGTGGCCAGCACAGTTATATCAAATTACTGTGAGTCAGATTACACTATGTATGCCCTAGGAAAGTTATTCTTTAAAAATTAATGGATCCAGGCATGGTGGTGCATGCCTGTAATTCCAGTACTCTGGGAGGCTATGGTAGAAGGATTCCAAGTTTGAGCCCAGCCTGGGCAACTTAGTGACTTAGTGAGATCCTCTCTAAAACAAAAAACAAACAAACAAAAAAAGATCTGGGGGTTTAGTTCATTGTGAAGGCCTTGGGTTCAATTCCCTGTACCATACAAATCAATCAAACAATCAATCAATCAATCGCAAGGACTCCTGTGATGGCCTCATGATCACAATGACTGTCTTAAAATTTTTGTGGTATTTCAGAAAAATATCTCCTATTTGTTTTCTCATTGGTTGCAACAAATCTGAAGGAAGATGTACAGAGGACCAAATAATAGCTTACATTTTTATAATATGTTATAAAACCATAACGTTTTGTGGATATTATTTTATAAATGAGGAAATTGAGGCTCAGAGAGGTTAATACCTTGGTCTTTAAGCCAGGGTCACACAAGTAGAAAGTAGGTTGGCCTAAGTCCCCAAGACATCTCCTAACTCTCAAGTTTAGGGGTTTTCCTATTTTATTTTCCTCTCAGGCCATTGGACAAAACAAGACCAGAGAGAGACTAGAGGCTAGGCTGGACCTAAAATTCAATGTGCCAGTGACTTGGTGTGGGCAGGGTACCCTAATATGAGAAGCAGGGCTCACAAACACCTTTTTCTGCTGTCTGTCTAGTATATCACTATCAGATGAAAATCCATGTCTTCAGTTACGAGAACAGAGGGAACATCGAGCCAACCTTTTACGTCACCCTGTATGGTACTAATGCAGACTCCCCGATTCTGCCCTTGGAAATGTAAGTCCTGAATTTCTTTTGCGGCTTTGGTTTAGGACAGAGAACAAGTTGGTCTGAGAATGAGAGAAGGCAAGGGAAGTTTGGGACAAGTGCAGAAGAGTGAAGCTGGGTGCCCCAGGGGAAGGGCTGAGTAGTTCCCCCTGGCCTCCAGTTCTCTCTCCTGCTGGATGTTCTCAAGCAAGTCCTTGACTCAGTACATTTCTGGAACACTCCCAGGATGAGTCAGCACTGTGAGAAACTGCAGATCAGCTGGTCAGAAACTGCTGTTTCATTTCAGGCAACACCTGACACTTGAGGCTTTAGGGAATCAGGATCTTCTGTAGAGATTGGCTGTGGGAGGAGTACCTGGGAGTCTCTGTGTACAGTACTTGTTGGGTACCCACAAGGGACAAAGCACATTGCCAAGTAATGTCAGGATTTCAAAGAAACATCAGCAAAGTAACTCACTTTAGGCTCTAGTTGGAAGACTAGACTCGAATTTACTCACAGCTGGGGTGAGGTAGGCCACACCAGGAGCCAGATGAGAGGGACGGGCAGGAAGGGACTGGGATTTGAGTAGAACAACACCTGTGGGCTGAGAAGAATAGAATACTGCTGTGTGGATGGGACTTCTTTGTGTTCTCTCATTTCTACTTGTTCTTGGTCCCATCTCCCTGAGAAATAGAAGCATTAACGGAGAGGCTCCTAGTAATAGGTTCGATAAAAAGTCAGGTGCTGCAGGCAGAATTATCTCTGTCAGTGTGGAGCACAGATGAGCTCCTGCCTTGGTTCTGTGGGTGGGGCACAGGGCACAAAGGTGCCCTGCCATGTGTTTCTCTCTAGTCCCTGTGGAGAAGGTGCTGCCACTGTGTCACCCGAAACAGTGTGGTGGCTTCCCAGGTGACAGAGAAGTGAAAGTGAGAAGAGCTTCTCTGCCACCTTGTAGAGTGGAGCAGATCGGGCTGAATGCCACCAACACCTTCTTGGTCTACACTGAAGAAGACTTGGGTGACCTCTTGAAGATCAAACTCACGTGGGAGAAGACATCACAGTCCTGGTACAACCTGTGGAAGGAGCTTCGCAGCTACCTGTCTCAACCCAGCAGCTCTGCTCAGGAACTGCATATCCGGCGCATTCGCATCAAGTCTGGGGAGACCCAGCAAAAGTAAGTACTCCTGTCCCCTCTCCTGCTCATGTCAGTGGTAAGCACAAAGCCATGTCTCTGCTGCCTTTTTTCCTTTGCATGAACCCTCACCCTTCTGTATCTATACACAGTGTGCAGGCAAAACTTCAAACATCTTTAGAGGGAATCATGACTCTGTGGTCAAGTTTCTGTTAACTGCTGTGCATCTTAACCCTGATCACAAGCCTTTGGCTGGCAGGATGGGCAAGGGAGGGAGCTGGAATTCAGTTTCTGTTCTGTTTGCCAAGCCCCGTGTTGGCCCAAAGGAACAGAGCTTCTGGACAAGGCTCTAGGCGGGTTCCCTTGTTGATCTTTTTACTGTGGGGCAAACTGGGGCATCTTGTCCCACACAACAGGTCTACGAGGGGCCCTGGTTTACGCTGGCACCTTATTTTAGGGTCATTATTGTGACTCTCCTTCAGAGGCTCTGAATCAGGGATCTGGGTCCGGGGCTCTACCTTCAAGTAACAGAGAGTCCTCTGTGGCATGCCAGCTGGCAGCTTCCCCATCTTTTTGAACCCCAAGTAAAGCGTGAAAGATCCAGACCTGTATGTCTCAGCCCCCTATACTGTGCCCTGACTCTCTGAGCAGGCTTCTGTCTAAACTGAAGCCTCGGTGGGCTCAAAGCCAGCAGAGCCATGGAGGGAGACCTTTGTGAAGGGAAAAGGGTTTTCTTAACCACGTCCTTCCCCTGACCTCTGGAGTAGCCACTGCCAGCCTTGGCAGGGGAGGAAGCAACTCCCAGCCCCCTTGTTTGTTTCCTGGCATTTTCCTACTACAATTCTTCACTTGTCTTGTTTGCATCTATCATCTGTGGCCCAGCTTGGCAGCAAAAGGGAGTGAATGGAGCCTTGAATCCCTTCTCTGAGTAATTCTAGTCTGGAAACGAGCGAACTAGGGGTATCGGAGGAGAGTTGTTAGTACCAAACCTATGATCTACATAGGTGTGTATCCTTTTAACTGCAGCCTTTGCCTGTGGGTATGGTAGCAGAAAAATGATGATTTTTATAACATACGTCAAATATAATAAATACCTATTTAATTACTGTAGAGACAACAGATATAAACAGTTTTCTATAATGATTTCAGATATGAAATCTAAAATCTAAAAATTTAAAAGCAATAGGGCTGGGGGTTTAGCTCAGTGGCACCATGCCTGCCTTGCAAGCGCAAGGTCCTGAGTTCAATCCCCGGTACAAAAAAAAAAAAAAAAAAAAATAAAAGCAATACATTAGATAATTGAATCCCCTTTGTGCTCTTCCCCTGCCTTGTTCTTTCAAACCAAAGATAATGAAAATTTCATTGACTATATCATTGAAATTGTATTTCCTTCTTTCATGTTTATATGCCATTAGTACTTCGGTTTGTATCCATAACAAGGTGTACGGTTGTTTTAGATGCTCCCGAATAGTCTATGTGTGGACATACTAATTTACAAGTTGCTTTTTTCATGTAAAACATCTGAATTTATTCAACACATGTAGATCTAGTGTATGGTTGATTTCTCCAGTAGACTGTAAACTCCTTTTTTTTTTTTTCTATATGGGGGGTTGAACCCAGGGCCTTCACACTGAGCAACATTCCTAGCCCTTTATAAAATTTTGAGATAGGATCTCACTAAGTCACTAAGTTGCCCAGGCTAGGGTTGAAGTTGTGATCCTCCTGCTTCAGCCCCTGAGAGTGGTGGGATTACAGACATGTACCACCATGCTGAGCTTACTAAGCTCCTTGACTGAAAGAATTTAAGGTTCCTCACATGTGGGGTTCCATAAATGTCCATTGATAAGAACAACTGGAACTCAACTGCACATTACAAAGACTCAGAAAATGGACAGGCAAGTTCACAAGAAAGAATCAGGGAACTAAACACCGTTTTATGAAAGCCGTGATTGCCCAGTACAGCCTCAGTGGTATATGATTAGCATGTTGTATAGTCAGTTATGTGTAGTGCTTGATCCTGATACTCAGGCAGGACTAAAGCCACACTCAGAATAGTTTAAGAACCTTTCTCAGGAAGCCCTAATGACCTCAGCACCTATATGCTTAAAAAGATGACCTACCTCACACATAACTAAGAAATGCAAATGAATTCAAATCACAGCAGTAGGGGACTCACTCACACCCAAAAGATTGGCAAAAATATCCTGCCTAATGGAGGTAAGGTGGGAGAAGGGAACTATTACTCTACAACCAAGATTAAAAACTAGTCCAACTACTTTGGAGAGGGATTTAATACTACCTGGTCCAGTTAGAGAATGCACATATCATAACTCAGAAATTCCACTTTTTGGTATATATACCCAGTACTATTTGTAGCTACAAAAAAGTAGCAAAAACTGAAATATTAAGCAGAACAATGGTAAAGCCATTGTTTGTACAACCCAGTGTAATTTGTAGCTACAAAAAAGTAGCAAAAACTGAAATATTAAGCAGAACAATGGTAAAGCCATTGTTTGTACAGTAATTATTTCATGTTATGTGACATAATGACAATTTAAGAAGTAACATTTATATAAGGATATACTTTTTTACTAAGTTGAGGTCCAGGGAGGTTTGGTTCATGTGAGTTGGGGCGGTGACTTCCGGGAGACTTCCAAGAGGCAATGACCTGGAGAGGCAGGTGGCCTTTGGGTAGACAGAAGGAAGAAGGTGGGAGAGGTATGATTAAGTCTACATGAGGCCAAATCATGGAAGTCTTCAATGCAAGACATAGTTTGGAGTCTTGTAGTAGTAAAGGGCAGTTCTGATGGCTCTGGATTTGGGAGTGACAGCTCTGCCTGGATCTCCCTAGAGTTCAAACTTCATCAGTGATGTCTTTTCCCTCTTAGATTGACTTTTTGTGTGGAAGATCCTGAGAACAACAGCATTTCCCCTGGCCAGGAGCTCTGGTTTCACAAGTGCCGAGATGGCTGGAGAGTGAAAGGTGAAAGCAGGTAACCAGGACTTTCTCTGTGTTGCACTCACACGTCTTGACCGATCACCTAGCATATGCTGAGCATGAACCAAGGCAGTAGGGACACGGCATGAACAAAACGTATAAAAATCCCTTCCTATGTGAAGCTGCCCTTCTACTGGAAGGATGTATGCATATAAATGGGTGAAAATACCAAGTATTGAAGAGTGAGACTGCTACCTCTGCTCTTATACTACCTCACCCAATAGGTGCTTATTGCTCATGGCAGAGTCTCTTTGGCCACTAAGTCCATAGGGTTGGAGTCCATGAGATCTTCTCTGTAGAGACCAGTACTATGCAAAGGTCCAGCCTTTGTTACTTCCTTCTGGGCACCAGAGGAATGGGATGGGAAGAGAAAGAGAAGAACAAAGTATATTCCCTTTCTTCTCGTTTTCTGAAACCCTGTTGGCATGAGTAGGTATTAGCGGGTCTAATTCTCCCTTTTTGGGAAGTATACTCCTACTCCTGTGTGTGCAGCTGAGTCCGGCAGGTTTTCTTGCTCCAGTGTCCACTGCACTGTGCTGGAACCCCTTGATTTCAGATCAAAGAGGGCCCAGCTCACGGTGTGAGGCAGTGGGCTTCTCCAGGGGAACCAGCCACATGCCCTCTGAGCCCATACACCTGCTGAGGAGCAGGGAGATCATTTCCCAGCCATTCCTGCCCCAGCCCCTTCCCTCTTCCCTTAAGCAGAGTATTGCATAGTAATCCTGCTGCCATATACTGAGCACTTAGTGTGTGATCACCCTGCACTCAGTGACTTACATAGTCATTTAAGGGTTACCATCAGCCCTAGGAGGCAGTGCTGTTATCCCTGTGGAGAGGTGAGGAAGCTGAGACTCAGGGACATGAAGTCACTCTCCCGAGGTCCCCCAGCTGGGGATGGCACAGTGAGGATTAGAAGCAGATCATTCTACTCTAAAGCACGTGTTCTCGAGTGCAGAGGATCCACCTCCTCAGATGAACTGCCTCACCTCTCTCTGGAAACCAGGTACCAAGCAGCTGTGCTCACGCCTGGGGGTCCTCTATGATTAACTGTCTGCCAGCCCTGTGGTTAGGTCACATCTGCAGCTGCTTCTGAGTAGGAGCATCAACACAACCTCAGGTTCAGGAATCACAGGGCTTATGGGAGGTGAAGATGGTCTGTCTAGTTTAGGATCTCACTCTAGTGCAGGCTCATGATTTTCTGCTACCCTAATTTTAAGTCTTTATGTTTGTATTCAAGTATATGCCTTTTATAGTGCTTCCACATATGTTAACTTCACTGATCCTCAGACCAGTTATGTAGATTGGACACACGCAGGAAGGACTGCTATTTATAGAATGAGGAATTAAATATTTTATTATTCTTTTCTGCTCCAGAACTTCCTAGTAGTTAGGAACTATATATATGACTTGTCTCACATTGTTTCTTTTAGAGAATATGGTGCCTTTTCCCTCTGCCCCCAAAGAATGGTAAACAATAGGAGTCTCAATAGTGAATGAACCATAAAAGCTGTGGCATCCTCAGGCATGTACAGCACCCTCAGTCTTCTCCCTCGGGACTTACGTGCTGCTTGGTTGCTCACAGATGTGGAGACTGAGGTTCAGTGGCCCTTTCCTATAGCTGATGCTAGAATCCAGGTCTCTTGGTTCAGCTTTGCCTCCTTCCTGCCATGCTACCACCTCTCTTGTGTTTCTAGAGTCAAGCAAAGAGAACACCTTGACAGTTCTCATGCTTGCATGTGTGCATTGTTCGTGTGTGTGCGTGTTGTGTTAAACACACAAATGCAACTTAGGAGCCAGAGAGGAGTCTTGGGGGGCATTTCTTAGAGTGAAGCTGTGGGGAGGAGAAGGAATCTCAGGAGCCTGTCCATTCTTTTCTGAAAGGAAAGTGAGTGAAATAGTCCCACTGTGTGTCAGAAGCTGGAGAAATGGAAACCCTGGACACAGGTATGCCCATTTGCTGGTGAGCATGCTAACCAATGCCACACTGTCACTTGGTGCCTTTCAGTCCCACTGTGAAACTTGCCTGAGGAGCTGGAAATCCTGGCCAGCATGCCAGCGTGCACCTTAGCCCTGCTGTCTACACACATGGAAGAAAGTTACTGCTGAGGACTCACCAGAAGAAGAACCCCTCTCAGCTTGATCCTGGAGCCTCTGGACCTACATGTGTCCCCTGATGATTGTGGCTTTTCTATGGACAGATAACTGTGCACGCTAGACGAGCTATCTCTGTTGACACCTCTGGAATTGAGTCTATATTTGTGTGCCAGCAGCAAATATTTAGGGTTCCCTGTATGCACCGGTGGGTCTCCTGGTTGCTGATTGAGTCCAGGCTTTGCCTGACAGGGAATGTTGGCTGTGAAGCAGCTTTGCTTGGAAGACCACTTATCCTGACTTGAGCCTCAGTGAATGGTCTTTCCCTCAGGAGCTGACTCGTATCAGGATGGCAGACCTGTTACCTCACTGGCCCAGAAAGGGGCCATTAGATTAGGCTGGTGCAAGCCCTGCTATGGGAGTTTCCATGGGCTGGTTTGATCCATACGGTTACATCTCTTAAACATTCCATCCTGCTCCCCAAACTCACCCTCTGAAGCACACATATTGGCTTTCTCTTTTTTCCCTTGTTCATATTTTGATTGAACAAGTATTTATTGAGCACTTAAAATTAGTTAACATGTGGTAGTAGACACAGTGCTCAGTGTCACCATTTGAAACCTGAATAGGGTTCAGGTTCCTAGAATCCCTTCCAGTATGTGAAATGAGTGTGTGTGTGTGTGTGTGTGTGTGTGTGTGTTTTGAAAGACCGGAGGTGTATAGGGGGTGGGAAACTACAGGCTACAGGATTTGGGAACCTTATGGCTTTAAGCAGCTGTTACCTATTCTCAATGGTCATGTGCCATTTCCTCCAAGAGTGACATGTTTAATCACCAGCAGAATATCAAGAAGAATGTCATACACTGAGGACATAACAGTAGCTGATTGTTAGATATGACTGCTTTGGAGCAAAATCTCCTCTGTTTTAGGAGCTAGGAGATAGTAACATATGTTCTACAAACCTACTGATGCATAAGCCAGCACCTGTCAACAGAGCTAACTCTAAGATTTTAGGTGGTGCTCTTTTCTTCCTTGAAATACCTTATTTTCATACCAGTGCCTTTTTTGTGTTGTATGTCTTGCAAAAGCCTCTGATTCTAGACCTGGATTTGAATTAATAAACATGATACCTAAGATCCCTTTTTATACTTTTCATGTATGTGACCTAAGTAGAGTGAAGTGACCAGGGCCACTGCCATTATCCTTATTTTACAAGACTGATAACAAAATTGAGGCTTAGTGAGATTCAGCCACATGCCTGGAATGATATACTAAATTGGTGGTGCAGCCAGGCCGAGGAGCCAGGTTTCCTGGAGGCAAAGTTCATGATACACTCATCTTTCCAACTTCATGAAGACATCTATAGCCATTTTCTACCAGTATGCCCAGATGTGACAGGGAACATTTTTCCCCAGAGTCATATATAAAATCTGAAGCCCTTTTATTAATATACAACCAGGAGAAAACCTGTGCCAAAGGGTTGGGTTTTCTTATGGGTGAGATTTATTTGGGAGGAGGCATGATATCAGTTGAGGACGAGAGAGTGATTTTCTCTGCATTTAGGTTTTTAAAAGACATTGTTTCAATCTGTGTTGTGCCAAAGTTATATCACTATTTAATGCCAAACTTCTGAGGACATAACCAGTCAAGTCTTAATTCAAAATATGCTTTTAATCTGCTTGTGCGCTTCTGTGATTGCTTTCTAGCCAAAGTGAAACTTGTATTACTGGCCATTCACCCTGGTGCATATGACTTCTGGTTTTTTAGTAATGGAAACTTTGGGAACTGAATCTTCAGTGGATTGTGTATTTATGCATGTGGCTTGAAGCCTTATTTGTATATATGATCCTTTTTAAAATTCTACATAAAGCACTATTTATTTCTCAAGTGTGTATAATGTATAGAGACAAATATATGGTTACTTTTTATGTTGATTAACCAATTTCAAGATTTTAAAATTTTAATAATAAAATAATTAAAAAACTACAAAATTCTTAATCTGGCAACTCATTTCTTAAATTTGAAAGAATTATGGCTGTCAAAGCCCTGGGTTTGATTTTTTTTAAAAAAAAGTTTCTTAGGGCTGGGGATTTAGCTCAGTGGTGCTGTGCCTGCTTCGCAAGTGCAGGGTCCAGAGGTTGAGTTCAATCCCTGGTACTGCCAAAAAAAAGAAAGAAAGTTACTTATGTTTCAGTCCATAGGTGACCAACTCCAAGCCAGGGAGGGTTGACAGAAGGGTAGGGCAAGAAAAGTTGCTTACTCCATGGTAGCTGGCAAGCAGAGAGTAAAGCTGGGGAAGGAGAGAAACTCTCCTAGGCCAGGTTCCAACAAAATATCTCTCCTGTCAGACCTGTCTCCTAACATCAAGCCAACTATATTGCCCTCAATTCAATCACCTTTCAAAAGTTCAACCTCTGGGTGCCTGAGGCTCTGGGGGAGGGACATGTATATATATAAACCATAACAGAAGCTCTAGGAGGACAGGGATTTTAATATGGCTTGTGCTCTGATATTGCCCTGGAACCTAGAATAATATCTGGAATAGAGTAGGAGCTCAACAACTACTTAAATGAATAGGTAGACTTAGGTATAAGAAGTTAACTGGGAAAAGAACAGTTAATTTAGGGTCAGAAGTCCTGATATGTCACTTAGCATTATGTGAGTTTTAATCTAAATATAGTCTTTCTGAGGCTGCTCATTTAAGAATCAGAAACAACACTCTGCAAGGCTGTTATGAATATGAAATATATATGGTAAGAAAAATATTAATCAAAATTTCAGTAGTATTTTTTGATGAACTGAACATTTTGTTCTAAAATATAACTGAACAGTAAAGTCCACCAACATAGATATTTTTCTTTTTTAAGAGTAGGAAAATTTACTGGGGAATAGGAATAGCTCCTGAGAGACAGGAGGGGTCCTGAATGGGTTGTCCAACCAACATAGAATTTAACTTTGAAAAAGAAAAGCAAAATAGAAACACTTTTTTCCTAATAGTTATAAAGTCATGCCATAAAGTCATGGTAATAAAAGTAGTCTGCTGTTGACTCATTAATGAATTAACTAGGTTAATGAAATATAACAAACCAAGACCTGTCATGTAACGGTATAAGATCCCAGTGATGAATGTAACTATACTGTATACCTAAAATGTACCAATAAACTCAGTGAGAGAGAGAGAAAAGAAATATAACAGATTTATTGCAAACCTGTGTGTGTACGGGAACTTTCTTTGGATCTTTCTCTCTCTTCTTTTCTTTCTCTTTCTCTTTCTCTCCC